TTAGAAATTGAAAGCAATTATAATTTTACCATGTTAAAGATGTGTTCTGTGTGGGCAAAAAAGAATTCAGAGGCAGAAAGTTCAAAAGCCACATTTCAGAAAACTGCATGCTTTTAAAAACATAAACACTCACTACAATAAATTTCTTGAATTTCAATGTATGTCATCAAATTGGGCTTGTTGGTTTTTTTTTCTTTTGTTTTGTTTTGTTACCAGGGATTGAACTCGGGACCTTGTGCTTGCAAGGCAGGCAGCAGCACCACTGAGCTAAATCCCCAGCCCTCCAGTTGGGCTTGTTAAGTAATTCAAAAGAGAGTGAGTGTGTGTATCAGGGTTCTTTTGAGCTCTGCGAGACAGAGAGGAGAGGCCCATCTTGTGTGTCACGGGACACGTAGGGTGCCACACCAGGCCACGAAGCACAGGAACAAGATAGGCTGACTACACACACCTGGAAACACACTCTCAAGGGACGTCACGCACAGTCAAGCTGCTTACATGCATCCTTACAGTTCCTCAAGACCACATACAACATGTCACGATAACCACTTAGGGTGTGACATTAGGGTTCCCTACTCCAAGTGTTAATTATGAATATATTTAAATATACAAACTGCTTTAAAGAACACTACTGTAGGCCCCTGTACCCCTCCACCAAAACTGAATGATGGGTATTTGGAATTTCTTTGGACACAGCTGAGATTTATAGAAGAAAAGTGCAAAAATTCCTGAGTACTTTTCATCCAGATTCCCGAAGTGAACATTTCCCACGTCTGTTTCTCTCTCTCAGCAATCAAACAATGCTGTCAACACACCCATCTGGAGACCTCACTGAAGTCTCCTGCAGTTGTCCTGAAAGAAACCCCCAAGTGTGAGCTGCGCTGAAATGACCTTGATCTGAGCCGCATCTGGGCCTCTGTATGCAAGGCAGAGGCCCTGGGAACACACAGGCCACGTACCGGGGCCTGATGCTCCGTGATGCAGGAGGGGTTCAGGGGGAGACACAGAAAGTGCAGCTTCCGGGGCACCTGCTGCAGGTTAGCCCCACCCCACCAGCACTAACCCCACCCAGGCTCAGGTGATGCCACCCAGCTTCTCCACCGTACAGTTCCCCTCTCCCCTGTATCGCCAGTGCCTGGTGGTACCTGGGTGTGGTGTGCACACCGCGACCATGGCACTCTGGGAGGCTGAGGCAGAAGGGTGGCAAATGTGAGCCCAGACTAGGCAAATGAGAAACTTAGTGAAATGCTGCCTTGAAGTAAGGAGCGGGGCGGGGAGGTAGCTCTGTGTAGAGGCCATGGGGTTGATTCCCAGTACTGGAGGAAAGTGTTTGGGGGCAACATGCACTGAGGCTATCTTGCCTTAACCCCTCATCAGGGTGGAAGGAAAATACCAAATTTTCCACCCCCATTCCCACTTATTAGCTGGCTTTCTACTTTTCAGGAGCGACTTTTTCTCCTCTCCCACCCGTGAAGCCTTTGCTCACTTCTGTCCAGGTCCGCAGCCCTCCTCTCAGCTCTCTACCCCGCCCCCCACACACCCCACTTCTCTTCCGCTCTAGCGCATGGCTGGCAGAGGGGGTCTTTTCCCGCGAAAGGACGAGCTTGCCTCTGTGCACTCTCGGCAGCTCCCTCATCCTGGGCAACTCTGTGCCAGGGAGATGCTACCTCTGCTGACTACACTGGTCTGAAACAGTTCCACTACAAAACCACTTACATTCAGCTCATGGGTGTGCGTGTGCGTACACATGCTGCACCAGGGCCTGAACCAGGGCCTCTGCACTGAGCTACTTCCCCGTCCCTTTCTTGTGTTTTAGTTAGAGCTTGTGGTCCCCGTCCCTCAGCCTCCCACAGCTGGGGCCACAGGTGCGCACCCCTCCACCTGGCACTTTTAACTCCTTTCTAGGAAAACCTCGCCTGAGCAGCCATTCCAGACGGGCCTTCCAGGAATGGCCCACCGCATGAACCTTGGAAGCAAAACCGGGCCCTCTGCGCCCTGAGACACAAGTCGGGGAAACGCCAACGATAGCCTCAAACCCTGCGAACCCTCTGTGGGTGACACTTCGGAGGCCCCTGCCTGTCACTGCAAGAGGAGGAAGGCACAGCGCCATTGCTGCAGCTACTGTATCTCAGTTTCCGCATCTAGAAAACCCATGTGAATGCGGCCACCACCTGCTCCATGCTGAGATGTGCAGCCCAGGCTCGGACAATGTGCGGGAAAAGACCTGACCGATGACAGGAGGCAGTGGCACAGGAAACGCTGGTCCAGCCCACGCCGCGCTCAAATGGCCACTTGCCTTTTCAGAAGTGACAACTAGGGCCATTTCTGAGGGGAAAAAAACGGAGCCCTCACTGCTGACCACGAGCTCTCACGGTCCGCACACCACGTCGTCTCCAGGGATGCCCCATCGGCATGGCCGTCCACCCGCGGCCATGCGCACAGGCGTGCTGCTCTGTCTGTCCTCTACTGTCCGCAGGACCATGCAGACAGGCAGAGGCTCCCATTTCCCAGTGACCTGCAGAGGCAGGGTGAGACACGGTCCTTCCAGCCCGGTGCCTGCTCTCTGGCGACCTGGGCATCACTCCCAGACACACACCGGAAGCAGTGAGATTCCTCGGGGACTCTCGGTGGGAAGGGAGAGCCCATGCCCCGAGGTGCACTGAGGTCTAAAGTCCTGGCTGGGGACGGGACATGCCCAGCCTGAGTGACCACGAGGTGTGATGCCGGCATGGCAGCCTCACACGCTGCCAACGTGGTGTGAGCCCGGAAGGTCGCTGCTCCCCATCCCCTGCCCACAGCTGACCACTTCAAACCTCTCCCAATTCATTATGTCAAGGAATTGAGCAGCCAATGCCTCTAACTTCTGGTTGCTCCACCCCATCCTGTGCCTCTGGTTACCCTTCTGGGTCTTACTGGGGCCAGAGATGGGGACACAACTTAAACTAACAAAGGGAGAGGGTGATCAACACCAAAGCCCCCCAGCCTCCAGTACCAGGAGCACAGCAGCCTACACTCCAACCTTTAAAGAGGTCCTGCTGGCCAGCATCTGGGTCCCCATCCAAATACCTCTCATGCTAACGCTGTGGTTTATGTGAGTCAGGAACTTGACATAAGTGATGATCTTGCATCTTTTTCAAAGCATTTGACTCACCTTTTATTATCAGCATAGAAAGTTCCTCAGAAGTCTCCCTCAGTACTGATTCAAAGGTCAAATGGTGATAGAGACACAGCAATGCTGCCTGTCTGTTGATTAGCAACTTAAAAGGTCCACATCAACAGGGCAAATCCTCCTTCCAGACAAGCCTGCCCGGCCAGGAGGGAACCCAGCTAGTTATGAATGAGCAGACAGGTAACCCTGAAGCCAGCATCCACAAGAAATGCCCTTCTGTGGTCCCCCAACAGAAGGTCCCTTTTATCCTGCTTTTCTACCTGTCTTTAAGTGGTATCATGAAAATTCCAGGTGTTCCAGTAAACTCTGTCCCAACAACTTTCTCCTCTTTGTCCAGCGATGGGAAGGAGGTGAAGGGACGAGGGTGCTGCTCCACACAGCCTGACAGCAGCAGCAATCAGTATCATGTGCCTCCGCTCCCAGGAAGGGAGGGACCAGGCTGCTCTGACCAAGGGACACCACTGGGGACCGGCTAGGGTGGACACCCAGGTTAGGGAGGGAGCGGCTGGCCTATTTCCATGTGTAAAGGGGACTGGATGGCCAGTGCCTGGACCCACTCGCTAAGCAACCTTCTTCCACTTTAGGACAGCACCGGAGGGAGTCTGGCCACAGGCTGGGACAGAGGCACCAACCACTGAAAAGTTATGGTGCATTCAGAGCCACACATCGCCATGGAAACCAGAGGGGTCGTGAAGGATTCCCCAGAGAAGCCAGCCTACAACTGCCTCCGGAGTTAGGCAGCAGGATAGAAGTGCTTTCAAAAGCAGTCCAGCCAAAAGGAAAAAGAATCCTTTCACCTTTCCCCTCAAGACCCTGGGAGCTTCCGCCATCCTCACACCTAAAGGACATTTAAAGATGCACTCTGACCCAGCTCACGCGGGGGACGGCGGCGAAGTTTCTTGGTACACTTCTCCCGGAGCCACAGTCAAGGCAGAAATCTACAGATCAGAGACCACTCTCCAGCTCCTCCGCTCACTAACTAGGCCAGCTCCCAGCTGTTACATCATTCAGCTTAATCAGGTGTAGCCATGGCAGGATCGATCTGAAACTTGCGATCCACTGAAAAAGCAGCTGCTTCTACGTGATGGCTCCCGTGGCCGGCACGCAGCACCGCCAGGACCAGACCCCGGTGTGCACAACTGCACCCCTCCTCAGCACGGGCTTGTGACTGGAAAGGGCAGCTTCCCTGTGTGACACAGGTCACTGAAAACCGGTGAGGCAGGAGCCCAGACCCCTCCTCACCACCTCTCTCCACCTCCCCTGATCCAGAAACCTCAGGAGACCTGTCCCCAGGGCTCAGGCTCCTCTGGAATGTGCCACGCCTCTCTGCATAAACCCAGGCAGCCACAGCAGGACACATTCTCCCCCTGCCTCCTGTCACACCTCCCACCCCAGGCTCTGTGACCCAACTGCACTTGAATCTCGGTTAAGGGGGAAGCTGCTCTGCCTCTCCCCAGCCCCCGCCAGCAGCTCCAGAAAGGGCAGACTGTCCAAGCCGCTGCAGACGCCCTGGGGCCGCTCCTGAGCACAGAGCCCAGCTGACACACTGACAGTTGCATACACACACATCAGCAACACACTCACATCTCACGCCAGAGGGTCAGGCCACAGAAGCACCGCCCTCTCGAGCCCCGTACACTAAAGCCATCTTCCCTCTGAGCAAATGACCACGCATGCCGCAAAGGAGCCCTGGCGTCCAGAGCCCTGCCTGTCTGCCATCTCCTCTCACAGGCCCTGGACGCCCGTGGCAGTGCTGATTCTGGGGCTCCCCCTCCCTCCCCAGGAAGACAATGCCTCTGCACACCCCGCTCTACCACTCAGGGGCCATAATTACCGTCCGAGCATTCTTCATAATACCAGTCTAGTTCATAGTAATCCGCCTCGATAAATTTCTGCATAGTCAGTATCGGTGCAGAGGGGAGACGGGACTTCACGGCGCTGTGGGCATCAACTGAGACGCTGCCATGCCTCCCTGCCCTCCCAGATCACTGGGCACGAGCGCACCCTGAGACACACCGGAGTCTGGCGGTGCATGCTGAACCAGTCCGGAGCTGGATCAGAAAACAGGCCTTGGAAAGAGGAAGTCCATGGGGGTGGGGGCCTGGATGGCACGGAGGGGCAGTCTGTACAGCTCTCCAGACCCTGGGGCCCTGCTCATGAACGGCTCTGGACAGCGGCCCTGAGTGGGAGTGGCCGGACTCGTCCTATCCAGACGCCCGCAGGGTGACGTCAGGGACACACACCGCCTCCCAGGCAGCTCACACTAGCCCTGCCTTCTGCGCTCCGCTCCGCTCATCTTTCAATCTAACTGTTGCCATAGAAACTGGCTGGCTCAGAAAAATGATGCAGAGATGGAGGAAATGTCTTCCAAGGATGCTGGGAGCAGAGGCTGTAAGGCACCGGGTGGGAGAAGGGAAAGTGCAGGTGGGTGGGGGACTGGGCTCCGGGCCGCCAGCGCCTCAAACAGAGCTGAGGACCAGCTTTTTGGCACTGTTCTGGTCACTAGAGAAAGTGTTTCTGCACCTGAAAAATGCCACCTTAAAAATGTGCAAACCGCTGCCTCTTTCCCCAATCCTATTTAAAACATTCTTAAAATTTTAGACACTTCCTAAAGGAAATGTAAATTACTCAGAAAATGAAAACGTTTTCACTGAGATAATTATTCCATGCTCATGGCTGTGCTCAAACTTGTGGGAAATGACATGCAACTTATAAGCAGAGAAGACCGCCGTTTCAAAGGGCTTGCCTGGCGGTGTGCTCCTTCATGAACATTTGGGTGTACAATCTAAGTGCAACAGTGCACACACAGGACAGAGAAAGGGCAACTGCCTGGGCACGTGTGGGGCTTCAAAACTGTCCGTATGGGTGTAGCTGTCATGTTTCATACCCTTTAGTAAACAGTTCACATTTATCAGATCTGCGTGTTTGATGTTTAAAATGTTTCATAATCAAAAAAAAAATGTTGGATCATTAGACATTTTAACCTTGTTATGAACTAAACTCCAGCCTGGGTGACTTCTCAGCCTGGGGTTAGACAAGTCTCTGCTCTGGAGCCTTCCCTGGCTGCTGCCACTCCATCTGGTGCTCCATCTTCTACCCCAAAGCATAAGGGAAGTGTCTCTCGACACTGTCAGGTGTCCCCTGGATGCAAATGGCCTTGTTGAAACTCCTGCCCTAGACCAGACCACTCACCTCACTGGCAGGCAGGCTGGTCACCACATCCGTGGTGCTGACAGAGCCATGTGTACGGCCAGCCCCTGGTCCCTGCTGTAGATGGCTAGCAGGACTCCATGGGGCAAAACCCCACAGAGTCAAGGCTCTTCTCTGAAATGCTAGCGGGTTGGCATTTCACCTGCACCCATCCTCCTGCACACTATGAACCCTCCCCAAGTTATTCACAATTCCTGAGCAGAGTGTGAATGCTGGGCGAGTGGCTGTTACACTGTTTACGGGGAGGACAAGAATGTCTGCACGTGTTCAGGACAGTCGTTTTGCACATTTTAAATCCACAGTTGGCTAAGTCTGCAGATGCAGAATCTGCCAGCACAGAGGCCCGACTATATGCATGTGTGCGTGTGTGTGTGTGTGTGTGTGTGTGTGTGTGTGTGGTAGAAAATGGAGAGGAAAGCTATACACGTGTACACCCCCACACACATAAGTTCTTGCACAGAATCTATTCTCTGTGCAAATCTGTGTCGACCTCCTAACCCCCTGGGAGCCTCGCTGCTGTCCCTGCTGTCAGACCCCGCAGGCCAGGGGCCCCTCAGGCACATCTTCTCCCTCCAAGCCATCCTCAAGCCGACTTCAACTCCCACGGTGGAGCAAATGCCAGGTCCATGGCTGCCTGGCCTCCTCAGTCCCTCTCCCTGACCCCACCCCCTGGACACACACCTTCATTATTCAGGACATCGCACTACTCCAGTCAGCAGCCGGTGATCCCAAGTCCCCCACAACTGCCCCATCCCTGGCTTTGGTCTGTTCATCTCCTCCGCAGCTCCACATCACCCCGAGTGCCCCCTCAGACCCCATCCCCAAGGCAGGTGGCCACAGGCTGATGTCCCTGGGTTTCCCAAGTTTTGCTTACTTAAAGGGATTCCTGAAAAGATGGTGATAGGTCTCATAAAAATAAATCTACAGTTGACAAATTCCTCAAAATCCAGTATGTCCAAAAGATTCGACCCACTACATCTAGGAGGGAAGATCTAACACAAATCTGAAAAGCTAAGGTTTAATAAAGGAACCTGAAATGCAGCACTGGAAACCCCTTACAGAGGACACGGCACGTTTACCGTGCACTGTTGCGGACCTCTCTACTGTTTCATGATATCCCAGCACCTCTAAAACCAAGCTGGACACTAATGCAGGGTACGGACTCTGGGAGCCGGGTGCCCGAGGCGAGTTTTGGATCTGGATCCACATCCCTGAGACCCCGTCAGCCACTCCAGGTTCATCTGCTAACGCGGTAGCCGTGCCAGGCTGCCGGCGAGGATGGGCTTCTGCTCACGGGTGCCAGGCCACACACTCAGCACAGGTCTGGGACACAGGCGCCTGCTGTCAGGGTCAGGGTCGGCTGTCCATCTACACCCCTCTCCAGCACGGAGAGACCGACAGCAGGCGCGGCTGATGGGATGGTGCAACGTCCACCCTCTTGAGGGAAACGAGGTAGAAACACCATTATAACCCTCGAGGGTACCAAGTTCTGGGAGGGTGGCACATTCAGGCTGCGGAGCCTCTCACCCAGTACCGTGGCCTGCAGTGTGCCCAGGCGCCGATCACACCCTGCTCAGTCTTCAGCATGCAGGGGAAAGAAGACTGAAAGCATTTCCTCAAAACCCGAGTGAACTCGGGTGTGCACTGTAGGACAGTGCTGGAGACAGCAGCCAGGGCAATCCCAAGAGAGACAAAGACAGTGATACAAAGAGGGAAGCAGGAAGCCAACTTCTCTATGTGAAGCTGATATGATCCTATGCCTCGAAAACCCTCAGGGGTCGACCAAAAGTTCTGAGGAACTAAAAAACACATTCAGCAAAGCATTAGGGCACAAAATCAACATGAGAATCAGTAGGTGTCCTAGAAACCAACAATGAATTTGCTGAGAAAGAAATCAAGAAAACAACCCCATTCACAACAGCCTTAAAACAATCTAGGAATAAATCTACGCAAGGTGGTAAGACTTCCACATTGAAAATTAAGAAACTGAAATTACAAGTATGAAACTGAAGAAGATACTAGAAGATGCAAAGATCTCTCATGTTTGTGGATCTGCAGAATTTTTTTCTTTTTTGAGATAGAGTCTCACTATGCACATCAGGCTAGCCTTGAATATGTAGCCCAGGCTGGCTGCAAACTCCAATGACACTCCTGCCTTAGCTTCCCAAGTGCTAGAATTACAGTTGTGCGCCACCACAATCAGTTTGAGAATTAATAACTTTAAAATCACTGTATTATAAAGCTATCTATCTACAGAATCAATGCAATCCTCATCAAAATACCACTGGAATTATTCACAGAACTAGAAGAAAAATCCTAAAATTCACACAGAAGCACAAAAGATCTAGCTAAAACAATCCTGAGCAAAAACGAACAATGCTGTAAGGAGCACAGTACCCGATTTCACAATACACCATGAAGGCATCATAACAAAACAGCATGCCAGTGTCATAAAACAGATTCACAAACCAATGAAATAAAGGACCCAGAGATAAACCCACGCGGTTACAGCCATGGAGCCAAAACAGACAGCCTCTCCAGCAAACAGTGGTGGGAAAACTGGACACCCACCTGCAGAAGATAGAACCCAGCTATCCATCTCTCACCCTGCACAAAGTCAACCTAAAATGGCTCAAAGAACTAATGTAAGAACTGAGACCACCAGAGGAAACCCTTGAAGACGTTGGGACAGGCAATGAATTCCTGAGGACTCTACTGGCTCAGGAGGTAAAAGCAGGGATGGACACATGGGTGACATCAGTAGGAAGCCCCTGCAGAACACAGGAAACCTGAAGAGTAGGGGAAGAGGACACAGGGTTCATGCAGAACTCAGAGAACTCAGCCGGGGATGTCGCTCAGGGGCACCATGCCTGCCTTGCAAGCACAAGGTCCTGAGTTTCATCCCAGCACCAAAAAAGAACTCAGCACCAAAAGCGCAAGCAATCCAACCCATAAATGGGCAAGTAAGTAGGTACAACAAACAGTTACCACAAGTAGTACAAATGGCTAACAGATACAGGGAAAGTGGCACTCCACCCTCATCCAAGGGGGAACTGCCACCAAGCTGCCCCGAGACCTACTGCCCAGTGGGAGCCCAAAGACAGCAAACGCTGCTGAAGCTGTGGGGAAGAGGAACCCTACACTGCTGACGAGAATGAAAATTAATGCAGCCTGAAGGGAAACAGCATGGGGGCTGCTCAAAACTCTAAACGCAAGAACCAAAGTCACAAAACAACAGAGGCCCTACATGCCAGTGAAGACAGGAAAGGAGTCCAGGGCCAACAGCAGGGGAGTAGACAAAGACAATGTGGTGCTTGTACACAGTGGAGCACGGCCGTTTCTGCAAGGAACAAAACCTTGTCATTGCAGGAAAATGTACGGAACTGGAGATCACTGTGCTGAGGGAACAAAGCCAGATCAGAAACAAGAAACCCAGACGGCATGATTTCTCTCTGTGTGGACTCTTGGTGGAAGTAGAAGGCAAACTTAGGGAAGGGAATGGGCGGCGTGAGGAGACAGGTTTGCAGGGAGGTGGATTTGATCCAAGCTCAACATATGCACATACCGAACTCATACAGAAACCCACCATGCCGCACAATGAACATTCACTATTAACTTCTTAAAGGGAAAGAAACAAAGCAGAGTGGGTGAGTAGCACAAAGGAAACAGTACCCTCATGGGAGGGTTAGGGGCCCTGAGCAGCTCCAACATGAGCATCCACACAAAACCCCTGTGTTACGGCTCAGGAGACCATGTGTCCGCAGCTCTGCAGAGACCATGCCAAGGCAAAAATTCAGGTG